CCCCGTCTTTGAACAGTGCGGGTGGGAGGTCATCCGGACCAGAAGTTCGGTGGCGCTAGAGAGAACATATGCAGTCATAAACCTCCGAGGCCGTATGCGGTTCTACTTTCACCATCTGTGGGCTACACATGTGTGCCAGCTGTTGGCCTTGACAATTGTTGTTCAAAGTATTCAGCCCACCGGTCGAGACGTTCTTTTCTATTCGAGATGTTAACTCCATTCCGATTCTTAATGGTTTCGCACACAGGTGTTTTCCGCGGGCTGGCCAGGGATCAACTGAAACAGTCCTGGGGCATTCCCCGCTTTCTGGGCCTCTTATATTTGTTTGGCTTTTTGTGTCCACCACAATTCACGGTCGGTTCACACGCTCGCCCTCGCTGATGCTTCGCCGCACCAAGTTATTTTCGTGGCCTGCTGGGACATTTCCCCGAGATTTAGAGAGCTCCACCGTTCGATATGATATGTAGGACTTGAGTGAGCCACTCAACGAGCGCTTCAGTATCAACTATCTATACTGGACTCAACTCACAGCTGACTTAGGCAAGCTTCTAGCGGGGTCTCACAAGCTCTGGTTTTGTCTAGGCATCGGGATTTTTTACATATCTGTTACCAGAATGTTCACCTTTCTCGTATAGTAGAACACTCTGTACGGTCCCGGTTGAAACAATCATGTCCGTTCAGTTCCAGTTGCGCCCAGTGCAACCCGTGTGAACTTGAGACCGAACGGAAATAGCGCGACCGTGTCTTGGGAGTACAGAGACACATGTGCTGCAGAAAGCTTCCAAGTTTCGCTGTACAGTTCCGATGGGCTGACTCTACGCACCGTGAACACGAACGACCGAGAGGTGCATCTGGGTGATTTGCCGGTGAACGTGCCACTTCTGGTTGACGTTTCCGGACAAAATGCTGAGGGAACTGGTCCCCGCGGTGAGCGCGTGCAGTTTATTCTGCCCACAAGTGAGTAATCAAGTTTGTCCACATTTTGGAGCGTATTTTTCCGCTGGTATTAAATAAATTCATGGTAGCACGTCCTGATCGCACAACGGTTGGTCGTACTCTTCCTTGTTTAGATGAAGCACAATCACCCTGAATCGTCGAATCAGTCTGGAAGGAGAGGGATTTCACGTCGCTTTCTGGTAGTATGATGTCTCCTTTGATAAGCCTTTGTGTCCGAAAGGTGTCGATCAAACAATCGCATATTTCCCCATTCTGCTCTAAACTTTGCAGTACCACCTTCCACTCAAACCAACCTCGTTTCGTACCAAGAGCCGAGAAGCCCCATTGACATTGCGGTTTCTGTTCTGCGCGGTCGGCCAGAGGTGAACGTGTCGTGGACTGTTGCGAATTCTCAGACAAACCAAAGTTTCACCGTCAGATTGTACAACGGATCATCTGTGATCCAACAACGGACGACTGAGTATTTCAACACCAGTTTTCAGCAGGTTGATCCATGTTCTTCGTGGACAGTCGGGGTTATCGCACATAACGCCCACGGAACTGCGGAGGAGTGGTTCACTGAGGAATTCCGCATACCAGCAGGTAAGCTAGATACTGGGTAGCAGATATGTCCCCAAACGTGCATTTGCTTCATGGGTTTAGTGGGCATCCTTTTAGGACGAGGGCACCCTCGCCTCTCAATCAATCACTTAGTCAGGGACAATCCATTTGTATCAAATAGTCTTCACATAAGCCTGCGCCCCATTTATTGAATGATTAAGTTACTGAACCGGCAAACGAATCACTGGTAATTTGCAAGTAACTAATGTGTATTAGACGCTGTTGTTGTGGGACTAAAACTAGGGGGCTCATGCGAAGAGATGCCACCCATGGACTCACACCCACTCAGATAAATCCGCCCGCCGCACAACCTGTTGTTGTGTTCAATCCAGCGCCATCGATGCCAACTCTCTGACTCTTCTCGGCTACTCTTGGTACATAGTTACACTTTTGTGTGAACAACGCACTCGCTTACTCAGTAGGGGGTGGAAAATCGAAGTGATTCATCCCTACCTAGAGTGTTTTGTATGTTTAAGTGACTTTAGCCTGGATGGCGCATAACGAAACGTGCAAGGTTCCATAGATCTCGTGAACGCACCATCCCCATTTGCTTTTGCCTGGATCCATGATGCCTTCGAATACGTGAATTAGTCATGGTAGAACAAACATCTGAGGACCATGGTACTTCCCTAAATCTCCCCACACCACTGTTGGTAGTTAAAGTGAGCAAATATGCTGTTACTTTCAGTTTCATTTGTGCTCCGTTAAATAAGTAAGCTCAGGTTTGCCTGCTCGGCAAATCTTGCATAGAAAGAATAATTTGGTCGAAGTTGAACCAGGGTTAAGCGCACAAACGTCAAATTTTCGACAGCATATCACCCTGTACTTAATCCGTAGTTACCCTAATCGTCATACCTATAGTTTTATATGGTAGGGTGTACAATGCATGGGTAGAAATGCTTCAATTCTAATTGATGAAGGTCTTCTCCCAAAGCATATTTCGCGTTACAAGACTACACATATTCTTTCTGTTGATAATTTGTCACCATCTCTTACAAACCTTCCCAATGAATGCGTTCGACGAATTCGTAAAGTGCTCCTTATTCAATCTACTGTCGTCGGCAGCAACTAAGTACCTACTGGCGGGAAATTAATTGAAAACCCTCCAATTTTGGTCATAGTTTTGAACCCCTGATTTGCTGGCAGTCAACAACAATAACAACGTCTCGTTTTTGTGTTTATCACCTTGCCTGGCCTACTTCGAAGAACCAGTAACTCTCGTCCATAACTCTCGTCCAGACAGAAACAATATGTTTAATTCCAACGTGCGTTATGTCATCCGGTAAAGGATGGCGCGTCACGTGACGCGATGTACCTTATCGTGGAAGCAATCTTTAGCACAGCGGTTTAGCGGAGGTTCATCCGTATGCCACGAAATCGAAACAACAGAAATGAATGAAGATATCATTTAACTCACACAAAACTCAACTGGTCGAAGGGTATCTTCAGGCTATTTGGTCGCAAATTACACCTGACACCATGATACTCCGCGAAACCACCGTTGATCCGCCACTCGTGGCCGACGACTAACTGGAAGGTCGAGTTCCGTGAGATGCGCACTGCTGATGATTCCCAATAAGGATGAAACAGCTGTACAGTGTTTCTCGGCTTTTCAGCATAGATTGGCTTCACCTGCAGGACAAAATCTAGATTAAAAGCCTTAGAGGCCATGGTGGATACGGCTACTAATTACTCGATGGGAATGAATATGATTATAATAAATAGACAATATGTATACAAAACATATATATAATGACTAACAACAATAATGAGTAAATAAATAAATAAGTAAATAAATAAAACAAATAGTGCTGATGATATGATAGAAACAAAAAGGGTTTCAAACGCCCTGACTGGATTACTCAGCTGTCAGGATTCAAATTTTTAATTTTTGGGGAAAACCAACCGGGTTAGGGCTTACTCGAATCAGTGCAAATCCGTACAAGTAAACCACGGATTATTGACAGGTGCACTCATGGTTTTCACGATATTTCCTTCCCTGGTCGATTGTCAAGCCGACTGGCAGCAAAGACGAATAAAAAAATGGATTCTCCAGTTAATCGTGTAATATTTCAGTGGGAAGGCTTGTGCAGTGAGAAAGGTTGAAATAAGTACGATCAAATTATAAGACCATTTCTCGTTACTTTCGTATGACACTGTGTTCAAAACGTCCATGTAATTTTGATGGGTCCAGTTACTCAGTATTTCATCCAATCGGACTGATTTCATAGCTTTCAAGACGAGCTATTACACGTGTTGAGCAACAGTGTCCGATTCCTTGCATTCCCTAGCATTTTTTGAAGGTACTACTTGCGCTCATTTAGGCTGGTGTTTGCTTTATTTTGATTCTTGATCAACTGTTATGTTTGTGGAACCAATCAATGAGGTGCGCCTGTAAACTGTGCGGTCTGTCCCACCAACTTAAGTTATATCTACGAGTGAACTGTTGTATGACATGAAACCGAGGCCTTGAGTGCATTCAAGGCATTCAAATGCCACATTGTAAGGAATGGGGGAGGCTGGAGAAGGGGGTATAGACGACCAATCGCGTTGTGGTCTGTGCCCAACACTTGCGGCCCCCATGTCATCTTCAAACAAAATTTTTATTGAACATGTAATCAGCTATGCTCGGCCCGTAAAATCTTATGGACAGGTATCAACCAACAACTGTTTTAACTCTTCTTTCCCTTGGAAGGTGTGGAAAAGTGCGCACTGGTCTCTCCTAGTAGAATTATGTGGGAACCAGACGTTTTTCTTTTCGCATAAACCTTGGGATTCGTCGCCTAGTTCGTGTCTGCTCAAGACATAGTGCCATGACAAATAGTGCCATCTGGATGAGGACAGTTTGGAAGAGCTTGACAGCATTACTGTTTACGAACGGGGTACGAAACTCACCCTCATTCCTGATCGGTAGCCCTCCTGACTGGTCAACATATCTCAATCGGTACTTCAAAAGCTCAACAGAATTCGGTCAGTCTTCATTGTGCGAATTCCGAACTGATTTCACGTCTTCGGAAAACATGAGGATCGGTTATTTGTCAAAGTTGATTCAATTGATGATCGCCAAGAAGTGGAGAATGTTTTCGAAATTTCGGGATTTGTTTTGCACAACCAGGTCAAAGGGGTAGCAGAAGAGTATACAACATACAACATTCGATTTTTGACCAGCACGCGGGCTATTTAAGTTTCCGTTCGTATTCGTGGAACACCCGCAATCAGCCAGACTGAAGGTATTTAATCATTGGTTTACGCATTTTGCGGAACAAGCATTCCCGTGTGTTCAGCAAACGTCAACGGCCGTCTGCTTGCGCCAGTGGGCAATTTTGCACTTTTGTTCGCGCAAGATACCTACTCAAAGAGGTTCAAGTTTGTTAGAAATTCCATCAACCTGATTTGGTCAGAGCATCCGAAGCTAGTAGAAGTGCCTCTTTCTAACCTATTCCCCCATCCGTGACTAAGCTAAAATAATCGTCAAACATGTAGGCCGTGCGCTTCTGTTTGTTTTCCGAACGTCACTACTGTCAGCTTTGAGAAGTGAGCTTTTGCAATCAGTCATCCAAGTGTATGAGACACTACCCTGAAGTGGCGACCGTATATACCGCCTGCTCCAGTAGTATATGCGCAAGCTTGAGATATTGGAAGAAGCATTTGCGCCTACAGTCCGTCGTGTTACGAAATCATGTACGCGTGAGTCCATCAAACGCACCTACAGGCTTTTCTGACGAAGATGCGAATTGTCCGATGGGTGTGTCACGGTTGACAGCGAACGTTTGCGATTTGATTAGTGCACAGTCTCCCTGATGCTTGGTGCATGGTGCAACTTTACTCGGACATTCTTCCCCCTTGCGGAAGCACTCGATGGTTCTGTCGCACTCATGAAACCACGTAGGCAAGTGTGATCGGCCCAAAACAACCAACGAAAGTGTTTCTCATATCCGTGGGTGTTTATGCGTAACACGTGATCATGTGGCTGAATCAGCTGCTCATGGGTCCGGCTTACGCGGCTAAAGGTTATCAAAGCAACCAAACCTGGATGAGGTGTTCGAAGAACTTCAAACCGACTGAACATTCATCATTTTTCAGACCACGCATTTGTTACCACCAATCAAACTCAAGAACGTCAGACCACAACGCAATACAAACCGAGGCCGGAGAGAACGAACTAACAAAAATAGAAGGCGTGAGGACAACGAATCGACACAAAGGAGCGCAGACCACAACGCAACAAAGATCACAAATGGACCAATAGATTCACCAAATTTGCTACACTTTAAGTAGCAAATCACGTCAGAAGATAACAGATAGCCTTCGAATGCTACATAAGCGCACGCAATCAAGGAAGAAGTACCCACTCAACTGCGCACAGATGATGTCTCCTCGTGTGGTGACGAAACGTTTGCAAGCCAATTGCCAAGCTCGGCGAACAGATCAACAGCCAGCTGATCAACAACCAATAAATTACAGATGTAATTTCGTAACAAAATATTTACCTTAATTTCACATGGAACTTAAAAGCAGAACGGTAGACCAGTCTCTGCATGAGTTACCTAGTTGTTCAGCCGTGAATTACGATGCAAGTTACAGTGGTCCTCGCGAGCATTAAACTAGCGCACGCTGGAAACAATTGATTTATCACGTCTAAACACAGGAATGGGTCCACGGTAGGGAAGGTAGGATTTGTTTGCCCAACGCTCCGAAAGATGATCTTACAACTGCCCCAGTTTTGTCAATCGCCTGATTGAATCACATCTTTCTAATTCGGTAATTCAGGTTCGTCCAGGATGCGCTTGCAGTGCAGTGGTAGCAAGCTCATGTTGCACGTCAGATCTCCAGAATCCAAATCAATGCACTAGCGATGAACACTAGTAAGATTGAAACTCCAGTAGAATGCTTCGTCTGTTCAGACAAGGGTAATGTGGATGTAAAATGGCAACATTCCATAAATATGCTTGTGCCCATTGTGAGTTCACTTGCTGAGCTGCGACCAAGTTAACAGGCATTGCATCATAACACGTTTTCAGGTCCAAAAATGCAGATTTTAAAATGCCACAACAATTTCCGATCATCATCGCTCTCCAGCTCCATACCTCAGTGTAAGCCAACAAACAAAGTGTTGCTGTTGATATGGCTTCAACACTGGCACATGATTTTCAGGATGCTTAAGTGGTACGACAGACCAAACTTTGTTGTATAACCAGTGGGTTTTTTGAGCAACGAACGCTAAGGTTAGCAACCAAACCGGCAAAACTCCGAATGAATGGCTACGCAAGTGTGCTGTACTATAAAAATAAAAGCAGTTGCACGGATACAAAATTACAAATCTGAGCGGTTTTCGACAAACGGTGAGGTATTCAAAAAAGCAAACAAGCCGATATGGATCAACAGTCAACGCGTGATCGAAACTCATGCATTACAGCAAATTTATAGCTGACCAAGGTTTTGGTACAAAAGTAGTGTAACAGAAGCGGTAAAAAGATTTGCGCGGCAAGGACAACGGAAAATATAAATGTCTTGTCAAATTGAAATAGAGTTCAATTAGAGTTCAATTACACCAGTCCAGAACGGGCGGTCCGTTTGAACTGTCACCCGGAAGGCAGTCATTCAAGATGGGAGGCAATTTTAAAGATATACGAAGTTGCAACACCGCTGGCCAAAATTCCTCCAACGGTCAGTAAACGAACAGGTAAGTAATCAGGAGAGCTCTAGCGTACAAGCATACAACGTTGGCCACCGACCTGAATGGTCCGAGTCCACTCCTGCCACAAAGACTGGTTTCAACGGTACACGTGCCTACCCATGATATCACGCTGAGCTAAAAACCGGTTGTTCTAATACCAGTCTATCAGGATATACGGAAAGCATCCCTAAACCCGCGTACCCCTGGTTAAGGTTAGTCCTCCACTTCCAGCAAACATAAGCTCCTAACATCGCGCTTAATGACACCGGAGCTTGTACGAAGGGAAACCGTTCTGACAAGGCCGTCTGCATCCGTTTGACACTCTGACAATATCAAATGGCCACCTTCCAAAAGAAAGATGTTCGGACGTTACCATAACAACACCATCCTTCCTGAGTTTTCTATTCTGACTTAACTACTTATGGCGAACCTGAGGCGTTGGAATGTATTGTTTCATCCACCTGTTCCAGAAAACACCCGACAAATAATTCACCTGTTTCCAACGTCGGGTGAGCCTATCTTTCAAATCGCAATGTGATGTGATACCTGCGGTTGGTTCGTGTAGCAAGGGGTGATTCGGAGTCAAAGCCAGTGCGTCACGGCAATCTGTACTTAAAGGTGTTAAAGGCCGATCGTTTAGAACACGTTCCACCTCGACGAAAATGGTTGACTGACAATCATCAGATAAAGTTTGTTCTTGGATGAGTACAAAAATGATTTACCGCACTGACCGTATCATTCGGTCCCACACTCCTCCTCGATGGCTAGCAAGTGGGGGGCTGAAATTCCACTGAGTACCTCGAGCCAATAGTTGGTTGCTAATTTTCGCTTGGTATTAAAGCGATAGGTGCTTCTTCAGTTCCTTAACGGGGCCAACAAAGTTAGGTCGGTTATCGATGTGAATATCCAAAGGTTTCCCTCTTCGACCAACAAACCTTATTAGTCAGTGAGTGCGCCACTTCGAGATGAACCGCTCGGATAGTCGTATATTAAAAGATGCTGCGACCACGCTTTACCAGAAATGGTCCAAAGTGATCAACACCCACAGCTTCAAAATTTTTTCCACCCTTTTCAGATCGTACGGGTGGTAACGGAGCCACCATCCGCTGACATACGCTCCTTGGCCGTTCTCTCCACTGAATGCATTTATGGGGGACGCGCTTCACCGCCTGACTCCCATGAACTATCTAAACGTTCTGCCTGATAAAGCCTAGCACATGAGAAGCTTAAGCGGTACGGCAGACCAAACGTTGTTGTACAACTATTGGATGGAGGTCTTTTCCGGTACCAGAGACGAGAAGCGTATATGAAGCTTTCTGCATGTTCCTGGACCTCTTCTGCTCAACTTGGTATAGCTTTACATGGCAGGCTCATTCCGCTTGCATGTAGGCGGGCCAACATCAAGTTTGTCGGAAGTCTGCCCCGAGCGGTCAGTACCTAAGATTAGCGGATCGTAAGACTGTTGTGGACTTCCTATTACCGTGAGCCCTGGTCCGAACAGCCGCTTGATCGACTGGTGTGGTTGACCAAGCCAAAGAGTCAACGACCGTGCGAGCCAGCTGTTATATCGATCACTGTCGCGTGCAAGCGGTCAAAAGTGATACTAAGCATACAACTCATCTGTCAAGGCCGAGTGAAGAACAACCAATGCAATCTGTTTCAACAAGAAATGGTTATTCCATTGGCAGCTATGTAGTTCCGTTACGTTCGGAGTTGGTTCTCCTAATAAAGACGAAGGGGATTTCATCGTCAGGGCCGTGGAGCATGAATCCAAACCGGCCCTGAAACACGCTTATCCTGCTTCGCGGCCGAGCCTAGGAGTACTTACTGGAGGACTTGCATTCCAGCCTTTCTGACTCACACTCATGCTGTCAATCCACCTATGGTTAAAGTGACGCAGTCACCGAGCAAATGATGTCAATCCACCTATGGTTACAGTGACGCAGTCACCAACCGAGCAAATGAAGGACTATGGTCTCGAGCGGCTCGCCCGAGAAACTGGTCAAAGCGAACTCGAAAATCGTCAACCACTAGGTGAATTCTGGAAACCAGCAATCGCAAATCAACCACTAGACGAATTTCGGAAACCAACGATCGCAAACTGCTTTCGGATTTCGCTGGGTAGCTTGAACCTTAGGCTTCCAGTTACTGCCCACACAGGAACTATTCACACCAGAGGTTTCTACTCGGCAATTATGGTTCTCATCCTTCTGACAATGTAACCATGTGACTTACAGTTTGTATTTTCCGCTTCGTTATACCAGCTTGCATGTTTATATCTCTGATGGAAGATGCCGAAAGAAATGCCAAGAAATTGCGGCGTATATCTTCTCCATGGCTTTCTACGCCGTTGATCGAATGAACTGGATAGCCTGTTGCAATCTACCAACTTGTAAAGTGGTAAAATTCACGGAATTCCTAGCCGCCGATGTTCACAATGAAAACAGAGGATAAGTAATTACTGAGCAAGGCCTATTTTAAGGAAACGTGTTGTGCTCTCATCACTTGGTGCCTATCTATACGATTTCAATATCCATTGAAGGGGTTTGCGTAAATCTTGCGTGATTAAACAACCCTGAACAAATAAACAATGCGATTGCTTGATTCTAGCTTTCTGTCGGAATAACGTACTCTACCAATTAATTAGTGCGATACATCACACGGAACATCTACTTATTTCGACTTACACAACGATGAATTTTCTAACCTTGAGAACCACTTTATACCGGAGCTGGTCCACTTGAAAGTTCTCCACAAGCAGTCTTATAATTCGATAAGATTTTTGTTGCACACTCACTATTGTTGTTTTACTGTCCCATTTTATCTGATTTAGCAAAGTCTCCCGAACCTCCTGTTGGCGTGACAATACAGCTACATCGTCGTAAAAGAATGGTGACCGTATCGTGGATGCATCACTGTGCACACACTTTCACAGTTTACCTCTACACTGAGAACACCGTAACAAACGAACAGACAACGCGGGACCATCACATGACATTCGGGAACACACCGCGCAGCATGAATTTTCGCGTGGGAGTTGTGGCCACAAACGATTATGGAACAAGTGTTGAAGCCATCAGTGCTGCATTTTGCACATCCGGCTGTTGCGGTGTTTTCTAACCCGTCACAATTCGCCGTATATTGATTTCGCTCTAAAACTTCGGAATTATAAGGAAGAGAAACCAGTTGCCTACAAATCTACATGTAACTGTTTCTAACCAAGTTCAACCCTCTTCTCATACTCTTTACTGCATAGCTTGTTTAATGTTACTCGATTTGGTTTCTATAATAAAGCAAATACAAGGTCAGTCTTTCTCCAACCAGTGCAGTCAGATTGGGTCACAAATCTAAACAGGAACTGTCCATTGAGTGACTGTTAACAGCGGTTCCATGTTGACAGTGATTTATCTAATCGGGCTATTTTGGAAGGCTACCACATAAATCTGACGTTGAGATCACCTGCCGGTTTTGGGTATATGTTTTTTCGAAGTATCAACAGCTTGAAGAGACCCTATAATGTGTTTCTGTTTAATGCCCTCGAATACTTGTTACCCTGCTGGTAAACCCATAGTTGGAAACTACTCAACCGGAATGTTTCAGTACACAGGCTTATATAAACCCATGATCAGTAGAGCGGAGTAATTCGTGCGGCTAAAATACTATTAAGGATTGAGTACAGTGATTGCAACGTTTTGTTGCGCCAAAAACATGTCGTATAATACTCGGTTATTGGGTCGTCGTTCGAGCAGTTGGGCATACCAGTCATAATGCTTAAGAGGGAACACGTTTGCATAGTTCAAACGTGCAAATTCAGGTGCGTCCAGCATGCGCTGGTGAAGTAATTGTAACAACGCCTTCTCCACATGTCACGTGTCCAGAGTTCAAATCCCATCTCGGGGATAGATACGCTCTGTTGATGAGCTGAAATAACAGCGAAACTCGAGTCCAGTGCCTCGCCCTTTGGCGTGGACTCACGAGAATAATTACGCCAGCACAGGAGGATGACTGTCCGAACGAGAGTGATGTGAATGTGAACACTACGAATCTTGCAACGAGAACAACCATGAAACAAACGCCATGATTGTGATGGTCTGTTTACAAGGTGGCATTTGACAGTTATGGAGCAGAAAGTACTGTGCATAGAATTCTCTCCTGTTTCATCATTATCCACGAACTATCTCCGTTTCGTCGCAATCTGATTTTTCACACTGTACGGTGCACTACAGTGTACCCTCGCCTTGATCACGTGATCAGGCCATCAATAGATCTAGTGTTAGATGCGCTCATAAAAATCGGCGGATCTGAGTGTACCAACACGCCGTAATACTCCATAATCGTCATTTTTATCGTAAAAAAATGCTCTGTTGATGAGCTGAAATAACAGCGGAACTCGATATTACCAGCAAAACCATCAGTATAGAGAGGCTTGTTAGCAAGAAGCAGCTTTATGCTCACAAAATCCGACAAACAATCACGAATAGAACTCAGGTATTGAAAACTGATGATGCCATCTGTTCATAGCTCGTTTTCGTCGGCAGAAGGTGAGCCACTCAGTCATGAGCGAAATATTCGTTTTCGTCGGCAGAAGGTGAGCCACTCGGTCAGAGTCATGAGCGGAATAACAGGGTTATGAAAGAAATTCGCGCCATCGAAATGTTCCGATGATTAGCAGGAAATTTGTGGTACTTTCGAAATGAGGAGACTTTAGACCATAGAACCGTGTCTCGGTATCAACCGTAAGGTAGTAATATATAAAGACAAAAAAGACAAAAGCAAACAAAAGGTAATTATAGCGAGGGGAGAACATAGGTGCTAATTGTAACGTTCGGTGAACGTTTGTTGATTCCTTCACACCTACCGACACTTCATGACTCTCATTCCACATTTCAGACACTGTTTGGACTATAAACTTCACCTGTATTTTCCTTGATATTTGCGTCGGATCTGCTCAAAGACCTGTGATACAATCTTGAATGTACGTTCGTATTGAATCATTGCTATGTATTAACCATTGACACTTCTATTCAATCAATAACCGTTGTTTATTTGTTGTTATTACAGAACCATACCGAATACAACGACAGTCTTCTCGACTTAACAAAAGACTTCGGGTGCGTATACTCAGATAGTATCTCAGCCGCATATCTTGCATCAGTCACCTAGGTTCAAAGTGAAACCTAAACTAATTATATTTGAACAAATCGGACAACACTTAATTTCTTGTCAAAGATAGTTTCGAAACTGGCCGATATCTTCACCCCCGACTACTTTGAAAGGGTATATGGGAGGTTTGTACCATCAGTGAACTCTGAAACACCAGTGATAAGGAAGCCAAATGTGGCTAAATCGACAGAAAATCTCTCTCAATACGAATAACCGACAGAGAAAGAAACACTAACAGCTTCAATCGTGTTTCCCACCCTGAAAGTCTATCGGCCCTCAACATATCTTAGTCTTGTAAAATAATTATGACATCGCGCTAATCATCACTGCTGTTCTCCCCAAAAGATGGACTTCCCTCTAAGAACTCGTGTTTTAAAATGTCTTTGTAAATGTCCGTGGCACCTGCAAGTTGTTAGTCTCTCCATATTGCGACCAGCTCTCCGTTACAACCGAATGTTTCTGGTTTTTCTAGGTCACTTCCATTCGCTCTTTGTAAATCATGTCGCTTCACATCAGAGCCGTTGATCAAATTTACCAAAATTCGTGATTTAGAAAGATGTTGCAATTTTCCATGTTTTTCGCCCAGTTGACGTCTAAAAGCACTGAAATGTTGAAGATGTTTTCTAAAAGTTGGGTAGAACAAACTGGTTCGAATGCACACACTGACACACACGCAAGTGTCGGTGGCAAGCTGAGTGGCGGGTACACATAGGCAAAACAAGTGAACAGTCAAAAGTATCTAGGCGGAGTAAGCAATTGAATGGGGGAACTAGCATGAGGTGAAGTTAGGTTATGTGTGATGATTGTACGAATACTTATTTCGATCGACGAATATCAGTATAGGCAAATAACTCATTCGTTGTGTCAACCGGTTGTTCGAAGGGATCGGAACTCGTCAGGGTTGCTTTCCACTGGGAAGCTTAGGTTCTGGCCTACAGAAATTCTGAAGACGTTTATTTAAAACGGGCCGTTCGGAATATGAACAGCTTTATGTTTTCGGTAACATTGCAGCCGTAAATAGCTTTTCAGTGTTTCAAAACCACCTTTCAACATGACATGAAACTAGGGAAGTCACCGTCATCGTACAGGATGCCTCGTGAAGATCCTCTATACGGAGACGGGGGCGAAGTTAGGCAGTAAACTTCCATAAGGAACTCGGATAGAAACTGGTGATGCAGCAGACGCCCTTCCAGAAAACCTAAATACTTGTCGTGGATGAAACTGTCGGTAAAGCCAGTCACAGAGATTTCGATGCGGCTTGGTCAGTCCACAACATTAAGCCATACCTGCTGCTCAATGCGTTTACCCAGGGGTGAAACAGTTTTGAATTGTCTGCTGGTTCTTATTCTTATCCTTCTGTCAAAGCCCTAGTTGAACCGTGGAAGCCTGTTCACATGTTACCCCTCTTCTGTTGACGAAAAATGACTTCATATAATCCGCCAGTGGTAAAGTTTTACCGGAAAACTTGGCTGTATCAATGGTTGACCTCCTTGTTTTCGCGTGGCCATTGTTCCAAGATTTGAACTGGCTTTGTGTTGTCAGACTTGAGCCCACAAACAATGAGCAATGAACTCAAATTAATGTGTACCAATAGTTCTTAGTTAGTTTATTCACATAAGCTAAGGGATTTGAGGCTCCACGCCCCTTTTTCAGCCACGCGTAGTAGGTGGAACAGATATTTTCAGGAACTGTATCACCAAGGGATAAACCAGGTAGGAATCTGGCCGGCCAGTCAACGGTCTCCGGCCGTAGCCCATGCAGTTCGGAAAGGTGATAATAAAAGCACAACTCTTTGGAACGAATTGAGAAGCGCGGCGCAGAAGCTGATGTAAAACGGCCAAAAACGGAACGGTCGATGGTTTTCAGGGGGAATTGAAGTAGCAAGAAAGAACCTACCGGCAAGAATCACCCACTTCGAGGCCGAGTTTTTTGACAGGTGGGCTTGACGTCAGAAACTTTCTGCATTCCACCCCTAGATGGACGAGCTCTCTTTCGAAGAAATGACTTCCAGGTGATAAGTTATTAGTTTACGATGAACCCAAGACGGATACAACACCTTTATGTATTGACAGAAATATAGAATATGACTCAGTCTGGTAATAAGCGGTCGAAGTTCGTAAACTCTAACTATAACAATGTCTACTTGCATAGCCATTCACAGTGGATGGTACCCAGGATTGAGCTCACCGGATAACCCAGCACGATTCATTGGGCACGGTCTATAGCCGAGCTTCTGTCTGGCAGGCTGAAATATTTGTGTGATGAGTGAACTAGAATCAGTCAACATCAGGATTTAGAAATAGGCGATAACCAAACCGAACAAACTGTGAGACTGAGCGTGGTGGCGCTCGAACGTACAGACGGACGCCACTGTGTGTGGGTAACGCGCCACAAAACGCTGCACAGTAATCAGAAAAACGGATCTCAACGGAAGTAAGCCACACTCAAGAGAGTCCCGAAACCCAGACACCCTGGCTAAGACAATGAGGCAAGGACCTTTCGGTAATGATTTGATCAGCCTTCTGTACCACACTATCAGCTAATGCATCTTGCTCAGCAGTGTTTCAGCGAATGCGGAATCGTTTATTTACCGTCACGAGACCAAAAACTGAAAGCTACTTATTGGATCAACCACACTGCTCTGTGGTGATCAGTTTTAGCTACCGTGGGATGTGTTCCAAGGCTCACTGAAACCGTCACGGTTCTGCTTTGCCTATTAAGGCGTCAGTGCTAGACTGCGTGTGCGAGCATTTTCGGGCTAACTGTATACTTCATCGATCCCTACAGTCAACAAAAGCAGATAGACTCGTGCGGGTTGGTAGCCATGGCCTAATCCCGAATGAATTTCAGTTTTAGGGTCACCACCGTAAGTCACTTGAATAAAAAACTTTTTGAGGGTTTCAGACGCATGATTAGCAGTGAACTTTGACAGGTTAACGAACTGCTTAATTAGCAACTGTTTTTTTGTTTCTTGAAATATGCCACTGGTACAGATGTGAGGGTGTACATCACTAATGAAGCATGCAAGTAGCCTAAGGCCTCCGATTACTACGCAATCGTAGAAACGCTTTGCAATATTCGGTGCCACTGTTCGGGCACAAAGTGTGTCAATAAGAAGTTAGCCCACTGCGGAAAAAAACTGGCAAAGGTCCATGATTATTCAGTCTCCAAATCAAAGCGGTTCCATCATTTCCGTAGTAAATTTTACCCTCCATCGGATGCTGGGACCAAGGATTGGTTACATACTCCCCCACAGGAGCGAGATGGCCCAAGTGGTCAGAGCGCGAATTTACTGACCGGAAGGTCCGTGGCTCGAACCCAAACTCTGCCCCTTGACTTCCCCTGTCTAGGCTTGGGCAACCTGGCAGTGTCCCAGCCCTCATGCAATTTTCGGGTGGCATGACAGTTACGCACCAAAAGGGTGCTGCAGACGAACGGCGACTTTTGCAAATAGTGTGCACGCAATGTTGCCAAGGTTTCATTGGTCCGCCTGTTATGGGAACAACGCGACGTTTGGAAGTTGTAGGCATCAGCTGCTCTAGGTTGCTTCGTGGTATACCTAATGGTAGACTAATACAGACGGCTCAGAAGGACAAGGTGCCATTCGACTCTGGTTAGGGCAGCTAGAAGTAAATCTTTACACACAGATGATTCCAGAAATATCAGAGGTGGAATCATTAGTCTCTCTACAAAGACTGTCTTCAAAATCTCCTTGGCGTTGTTTGTTCAAGAGAGGATGAATGCATTGGTTAGCACCACAGTTAGGCGCAGTTATTTTACGGCAAACAATAGGAAATACACCAATAATTAACCGGTCCTAAGAAAGGAATACTAGTAATGAATAGTTCAGCCGCGAACTCACTCATTTGGCATTTCTAATGAGTTCTTGCCAAAGGTGGTTACACGTTTAGATACAAGATTAAACACGTTCCCCAGACACGTCCGATCTCGTGGCACACGCCATGTCATACACACGATATATGAAAGCTATCACCAGCATACTTAGCCGCGCTGATCACTGTCGTTCCCCTGGATGGGGACCCCTAAACTGGACGCATCAGTGTTTAGAGACATTGCGAAACATGCTTCAACCGCGCACCTAATGACGTATATACATCCAAGCTATTACCCTGAATGCATAGCTCCTCCTTCGATTTCACCAATGAAAGATCCACTGACACTCAAAGAAGTGCACTCATTTGCAAACAAATTTGTACATTTTTGTGGGAGAGACTCACCTGAAACCCAACTGGATCTCTCGTTTGTGATGTTTCCAGGCTGTCGAAGAATTTTTAGCAACTCTACGGGTGGTGCATCACGAATATTCACTGACACTCCTTTATTTACGAATCAATTATATCACCTACCGCCTCCAATGAGTAACTATCTACCTCACCTCACCAAATTACCGGCGAATGAAACTGTGGCAGGTATAAACACTTCACGGCAATTATGCGGTTTTTACAGCTGACAAAGAAGATGATGATCTTTGTATTGCCAAATCAAGTCACGTGAGATTCATCAAACAAAATAGTAAGGATCATACAGTGAATCAAACTTTGTTGAAAGCATTTATTCGTCAACATCCGGACAACTGGTTTCCTTTTCTTTGTTGGGTAATGCTCTCACTCTGCGGCACTTGATCATGAAATCACTGTGTCGAAAATGACAGTGATCGTATGAGCTGCAGTCGACTGGTGTGTGAAATTCAGCACTGGGGGCTTCGACACTCGTCCAGTAATCGTTACGGGCCACAATCCCCACATGAAGGGACTTGTTTCGAGGTAGATTTCCGAATGTTAAGTATTGCTTTCCGGTATCCTCCATTTTTATCACATCTTCCTCACTGTAGAAGAACACCGTGTAGTTGTGCGCACAATGATGTGTCCACGACACAGTCACCATCCTCTTACAGCCATGTTGCTGAACAGTCACGCCACTAGGAGGTTCAGGAGGCATATCTAGAATGAGCGAATTGGAGCAAAAATGGAAAAAAGACTTTTTTGGGACATTGGGTAGATCCAAACTTAATCCATATTTATTCCTGTTAGCGGAGTTAACCTTCGCCCCCAAACCCGAGACTGTCCGTACGGTTGTTTCAGCATATAGGTTCAAACCCGCGATCCGCAAGCTGGTGGCCAAATACTGTTCCGCGCGCCTAGCCAATCAGATGTACGAATAGCTCGAAAGTAGGCAGGCTAGGCAGAGTAGTTACAGTGACAATCACTTGCACTTTTCCAACCGGCTTTGACCTCAGCCACTAGCTCGGAGGTTACAGACTTGAATCTCTCTGGAAATGTGAGATGGGCACTGTTGGTGATTCCCAACAAGGATGAATCAGAGTGCGCAGTGTTTCTCTGACTTTCAGTACAGAGTAGCTTTACTCACAGAAAAAGCTTTGAATGAAACCTAAAATTCTTCGCCAACTGTGAACAGACCTAAACTGCTGGCAGTGGGAAACGTGATCGACCGGACCTACAGGCATTGAAACTCCATCCGGAAACAAATGAGGCTCAAGTCCGGTCGCTTAAAACTAAATGTGTTGCGTGCCTGGTTGGCGAACTCAACATATCTAAAAGCCTTCAGCTGCCAAAATCAAAATCTCGTGGAAGTTAGCAGATCGAGAACTTTTTCTGCAATGCGTTCTGACTAACTTATTTTCATCGAGCTCAACTTCGTGAGTTCAGATCTCAAGGCAAAACGATAAAAGTGATGTATGTCAATTTGTTCTTAATCAGACATTTCAGGCATTTTTTCGGGCGCTGAAAACGACTACCACAGTCTCACTGGATGTCGGCTGTCAGATTCCCTGAGTGGTCGCTGAGAGAGATTCGCGGTATCTGCAAAACCTTTCCTGGCAGCGATCTGTAAGCAAACGCTTCGTTCGAAGTACCACCCGGAGTAATTAGCTGTATCTCCAAAATTGAGAAAGTAAAACATTGCGATTAGTTTAAACCTGAAGTCGAATCAGTGATTACCGGGTTCTTCACCCTAGCTTTTGGCTTCCACAATCTTGTGCGAAACAATGAGCGGTCATGTCAACCCGAGGGATTTACCTCTGTTATCGGTTGATTAGCCTTTCAGACTGACGTGCAGAGCTGTTGCAGGTACAACTTGATGTCAACGAAACGAATAAGAACTAAAGATTTCGACTGTGGGCTAAATAGTGGTTCGCAGGAAATATCGCGAACAGCTGAGACTTTGCTATGGGAATACAATAAAGCATTTGCAGGATAGTATGATGTGGCGCGTACTCAAACAGCATAATAATGACAATAATAATACATTTGCACGCTTTTTCCACAATCCTTGCTTGGTCTCACCGCCCATAGTTGGCAGTTTTGAAATGGCGTGTGACTGAGCACTATTCGGCATAATTTTGAAAGCCTGGAGGTCCACTGACCTAATATCCACTTGGATGTGACAGGGAAGAGAAAGTATTGAGAACATTCAGACGTGAAAACTACAGAATTCGCACTTTTTGGGTATTTCCTGCAAGTCTTTTCCAAGGTCTACACAACCGTGCTAAAGAAACCGAAGGATATATCCTGCAGCCTGAGGTCGAACAAAATCAAGCAAACAAACTATACGAGGTGAACTGACACCAGCTGAAACATTCTTCCAAGCAACAGCGCAAATGAATCACTTCATCATATAGTCCACTCAAAACCGCTACCTGTGTTGACTCTGAAGTAGAGACAGTGTAAAACGTCTTAAAAATAGGTTTTAAATTCTATCAGTGATTACCGGGTTCTTCACCCTAGCTTTTGGCTTCCACAATCTTGTGCGAAACAATGAGCGGTCATGTCAACCCGAGGGATTTACCTCTGTTATCGGTTGATTAGCCTTTCAGACTGACGTGCAGAGCTGTTGCAGGTACAACTTGATGTCAACGAAACGAATAAGAACTAAAGATTTCGACTGTGGGCTAAATAGTGGTTCGCAGGAAATATCGCGAACAGCTGAGACTTTGCTATGGGAATACAATAAAGCATTTGCAGGATAGTATGATGTGGCGCGTACTCAAACAGCATAATAATGACAATAATAATACATTTGCACGCTTTTTCCACAATCCTTGCTTGGTCTCACCGCCCATAGTTGGCAGTTTTGAAATGGCGTGTGACTGAGCACTATTCGGCATAATTTTGAAAGCCTGGAGGTCCACTGACCTAATATCCACTTGGATGTGACAGGGAAGAGAAAGTATTGAGAACATTCAGACGTGAAAACTACAGAATTCGCACTTTTTGGGTATTTCCTGCAAGTCTTTTCCAAGGTCTACACAACCGTGCTAAAGAAACCGAAGGATATATCCTGCAGCCTGAGGTCGAACAAAATCAAGCAAACAAACTATACGAGGTGAACTGACACCAGCTGAAACATTCTTCCAAGCAACAGCGCAAATGAATCACTTCATCATATAGTCCACTCAAAACCGCTACCTGTGTTGACTCTGAAGTAGAGACAGTGTAAAACGTCTTAAAAATAGGTTTTAAATTCTATCACCAATGTGGTCAAAAAGCACCATAATCTACAGGTTGCAACATACAGAATGTTGTCTCCCAAGGACTGGCCTCACTCACCCACCATCCTACATTCTCCCTCATTCTTTCGAATCTTTCTGATAGTCTTCACAAATCAGTTTGGTTTCATATTGCAGACACACACCACGAGTAACTTTCACCCACTCACTTTTGGCTTGTTGCCGCTTCACTTATCCAAACACTGAAGAGAAATCGCACTCAAGAAGAAGAAACACTTTTTGGATAAGACAGGTTTCCGTAAAACGAAAGATTTTCCAAGGACAAAATAGGAACTATTTTCTAGCTCTTGCGATTTTCAATTTACCCACCAAGAGGATTCACCATAACGGCACTTTGGTCATTGTGAAACAGTTTATGTTGGAATTTAGAATTCACACACTATCCCGTGTTTTCTTCAGACTCATCTTAGCCAGATCTACATCACTTTGGACGGTAATTTAACCGGAATACATTGGTTGAAAGACGAATGGCTAGGTGATGGGTGCAGTACACATGGTACAGTTCGACAGAGATAACAGCACTTGGTTTGCTATCCAAGTTGGAGATTATCTTTGTACGTCTGTTATCGCAGTCCACCCACTGAGTAAAAAAAAATTACCCAATCGTAATGATGTGGATGAACTGGCTGATGCGTATTTTTCGGTCAATGTGTTTCAGCTAGATATCTCTTTGCTTATCGATTTCCCACAGTATTTATTCTAGCCAGAAAGGTGTTTACAAAAGCTGCTAAAACCCTCCACGAATACCCAAGTATACACTAAGCCAGTTTGTTGTATGTTTCATATCGTTTACTTCTACTCGTGTTAGTGATATGATTTATTACCTCTTGAAAACGTTTCCTCTTAGGGTAGTCAATAACTAGCTGTTGGATACCATGCATCAAGATTATGAAATACACCGATTTTTTCATGACGGCGTTAACAACAGTCGATATCCCCTTCCTCAGTGCTGCAAAATTTCCAGCCTCCTAAAGCAAAACGGGTATGGACATGCTCACAAGATCCGAAAGCATCACGACAAGGGTTTAGGACCTTCTAGGTGTACCAAGTTGTTTCAGCTCTACAGTCACAAAAGCGGGTTAGAAATCTTTCGTTTGAAACAGCGAAAATAGAGGTGTGCTAAAGTGGTTAAGTCCCAGATCGCCTGTTCTCCTGGTCGTCCACGGTAACCGACATTTAGAGGGGTATGTCATGCCGATCTGTCTGGCTTTCCCCTGCACTACTTTCATAGTTGTCACACTGAATACTTCCTGTAGGCGTTGGTAACTGAATTCTACTCACAAGACCGCCTGGTTTTGTCAGTTCCAATCGTGATTCGAACTGAGATCTTCCAACACACTGATCGAAGTGTGAAGACCACCTGAAATCCACATGAAGCAAGAAATTCAAATGTCTGCTCCAGATGTGTGCCCATCTAACCCTTCTTTGAAATGAATCGTAGTGTGCATAAGATGACTGGAAAGATCCGCGATGCTCTACTGCTGGATATGAATAGTAACCGAATATGGCATCCAACTCTTCGGTAACATAACAAACGCCCAGTGATGCATAATTTATGAAAATATCAGTAGTTTATATATTTTTACTAAATGTTGATCAGATAGATGTTGACCCGTTTTCTGAACGTGATGAGCGGGTTCCAGCTGTTTTGTCACAAAGCGAGGAATCATCGCCCGACTACATACTGACTGATGAGGGATCCTCAATAGGCAATGACCCGTTTGCTCGACAAATGCCAAGATCGGTGAACAGCTCAAGTCTAGTGTTTTAACATGCACTATTTTCACTTTTGAGTGTATCAGATTCGAGCACAGTATTTAATGTTAGCAAACCCATCAGAATATTTCGGATGAAGCTGCTTTCTTATACTACGAGAAAATAAAGTGTGTTACTTGTAATGTACTACTCATAAGGTTGCTGAAAATCCACCGACAGCCCACGACCGGTTTCGCCCTTCTTGGGGCTAATCAGGTAGGCGCAGTCCCCAGGTTTCCGTCAACCTTATGTTCTACTTGAAACCAAATTGCACGAAATTAGCGAATATACACTCATCTGCAAACTAATTTGGTTCTTTTGAGAGACTCACCTGGAACCCAGCTGCAGCACATTCAGTTGCCTGAGAACATCATAAACGAGAGATTCAGCTGGGTTCCAGGTGAGTCTGATGTTATAATCAGTGCGCAGCTTAGGAGCCAGCGATGGTCACTACATGGAGTCATCCAACCGTTACAAAAAGATTGGACCTTACCGTGGTGTGACGGTTTGCGCAACTCAGCGATGCACACAGAGACCCTCATACCAACCTGGTCAGTGATAGAGGTCTGACAAACACAGTCTCCTGGCCCTCCAGGTTTTGGGCTGGAACATATGGCAACTTGTTCCGTGGAAATGGTAATGTATTTGCATTTCCCATCAAGCACCGCTGCCTAGCGGTTGGGCTTTTGAGCCAAAGCCTTTGGTTGAGGACCCTAATCATCCTCCTGTCTGAGTGTGAGCACCCTGACAGTATACCAGCCCACGTACAACCATGACACTTACAACAAACAATAATCTCATGCCACATCTGCCGTCGCGTGGTGCCATTAGCCGGGTCACCTTGCCTGCTGCATGCAACAGGGGGGTAAGGGAAAGCAGGTTTCCGCTGACGCCTCCATCCCTTTTCTTTTAAATGCTTTTTCTTCCCCGTCTCCCCACCCCATTAATTACTCTCTCCTTATAGGCTTAACACTAAGGACTGATGACTCCGTTCATCATGCATCGGTTTTTCGTGCAGCATCCGCTCATCACATGGCGCCGACATCCTCAGGTATCTCCAAATCAGTCCTCAAGCCTCGACACCCAGTCTATCTGACCGCATTCACTGTCAGCAAGCAGGACAACAAGCTGCTCTTGCACTCACACTGGACTCGCTTGGCATCGATGTGTGCTGTGTCTCTGAAACGAGGATTCAAGATGCAAGCATAGTGACTGAGTTAACCGCTCCGTCAGTCTCCACTCGCTTCCGGCTGCGCACCTCTGGTGATCCAGAGACTGCTGTGGCGGGATGTGCAGGGTTGGTATTGTGCTAAGTCACCGGGCGGAAGCATCCTTATTTGAGCGAATACCTGTTGCTAGTCGCCTCTGTGCGGTTCGTCTGGCAAAGTCTGTGAAGAAGTCTCACAAGCGGCAAATTGATAGATGTCTGTTAATCATGTCTGTCTAAACCCCAACTGACTGTAGCTAGGACGCCGTCAAAGGCAGGTTTTACGACACCCTGAATGCCCTGCTGCCGCGAGCTAAAAGCTCAGACATCGTGGTGGTTGCCGGAGATATTAATGCACGCGTGAGCAGGCTTAGTGTATCTGAGACTCAATAAGGAGGTCGATATGGATTGGACTCGGTACGTACGGACGATGGGGAACGAGTGCTTCAGCTGTGTGCTGATCGCAGGCTGTTTTTATGCAGTACGAACTTCCGAAATAGCCGAAGTCGTCTGGCCACTTGGTGTCCTCCAACAACAGGCCGGTCACAAACTCAAATCGACCACATTGCCATCAGTTACCGATGGTGCGGGTCCATAACTGACTGCTGGTCGTTTTGGAACATATTTGTGGACTCTGACCACGCGCTCGTCCGGAGTCGCTTCGCCCTACGTTTCCTGGGGCCGCGTAAGGTGCGGACAAATCGCATGGCAACTGAAAGACTGGCAGATCCGGATGTCAGACGAACTTACGAGAATCGACTTCTAGAGTTTCTTCCAAGTGCTCCACCATCAGATGTGAACTCATACTGGGACGAGATTGCTACCTCTTTGCATAGTGCTGGGAATTTTGCCTGTGGCACGACCCAACCAGGCGCACTCAAGCACTAGATATCAGACGGAAAGGTGTCACTACTTAAATCTCGAAGAACTATCCCAGCCGGTCCCGAAAATAACCCGATGCGAAGAGCCATCAGACGTCAAGTGAAAGTGAGTTTGCCATCCGACCGTGAAGTATGGTGGACACAGAAAGTCAAAGAAATGGAAGAGGCCCAGAAAGCCGGTAATGCCCGGAGATTAGTTCAGTTGATCCGTGCGACCGGCCCCCGGAAACCACCTGTGAGTGAAACTATCAAACACCAGAACGGAACGACTATCTCGAACAAAGAAGAACGCCTTGACCGATGGGCTGAATACTTCGAACAACAACTGTCGTGGCCACCAGCCGGCACTGATCTGCAGCCCACAGGTGAAGTAGAACCCTGGACGGTGAACGTGGAACCACCTACGGCCTCGGAGGTTTATGACTGCCTATGTTCTCTCAAGCGCCACCGAACTCCTGGTCCGTATGACCTCCCACCCGCACTGTTCAAAGACGGGGGTGATTTTCCCAGTCAATGCATGTGTGATCTCTTTGCCTGCATTTTCGAAAAGGGGTCTGCCCCAGACAACTGGAGACGGTCGGTGATAGCGCCCATTTTCAGAAAAGGGGCTCGTAGTGATTGTGGTAACCACAGGGGAGTCGGCTTAACCACGGTCGTATCGAGACTGTTGGTGTCACTTATACTTCGTGGCTCGTGAAAAACTGACTTGAGAGCAGCAAGCGGGATTCCGGCCTGGTAGGTTTTGTGTTGACCAAATACTCACTTCCTCAGGTGCTAGAACATTTCCATACACATAAGGGACACACAATTCTAGTATTTCCGGATTTTCAAGGCACAGCAGACTCGGTTGATCTGTCTGTTCTTCTTGAGACACTTGCCCACAAAGGAATACCCCGTGAACCATATAAGTTCTTCGTATTCTCAGACTTCCGGACGTGTGAGAATATACGGCAAGCTCTCCAAAAGCTTCCGTACACAGTGGTGTCCGTCAGGGATGCCCACCGTCCCCATTCCTGTTCAACTTCGTGAGTGATGAGATAATGGGGCGAACGCTGGAAGGTCTCCAAAATCCTGGTATTCCGATAGCCTGTGAAGAAAACCTTGCCGATCTGGAGTGTGCAGACGACATCCTTCCCTTCTTCGAAGAGGAGGAAAGGCACGGATATTTTTGGATTAACTGACCAAAGTCATCCCGTCCTTATGTGTGCAATTTGCGCCGACAAAGTGTAAGGTCATGCTCCTGGATATTCACTGAATACGCCACTTACAATGCAGGGAGAGGTACTGGGAGTTGTGGAGCGTTGTATGTATCTTGGAAGTTGTATTAGTTCTCACTGCAGTATGAAGTCCATCCACGAATCTGCAAGGCTCAGGTCGCGTTTGCTAATTTGAGACACCTATGGCGTCGGAGTGGTGCATACCTGGATCTCAATGGAAGCATGTATCCAGCTACATTACGGGCTGTTTTGTTGTATGGCTACGAGACTTAGCATGTTCGAGTAGTGGAAGTGAGACGTCTTCAGGTGTTCGACAATCGTTGTCCCAGAACTATAGCTCGTGCGGGTTCGTGTCAGCGTATCCGTAACGAAGCAATTAGGAAGCGAGTTCTCGGTTTTGCAATGAGTAAGCCAATTGAGTAAGTGTCCAGCACGGGAAGCAGCGTCGTCTGGGACATGTTTGTGTATGCCGCGGAAGCAGAAAGGTGGTTAACCGTTGACCCGGCAGGGAAGTACGAAGGAGGTTACGAAACTTTTGTGTGCTGTTGGTGCTACTCGCCTACCAGCATGGAAACTGCGTGATCCCTACTGTGTCTGGTTAGAGACACTGGAAGATATGGATACCAACCGACACCAGTGGCGTTCTTGTTGTCAGTTTCTATCCAGATTGCCTGAGTGAGTGTCTGGAGATATATGCTCCTCGGAATGATTGTAGGAATCTAGCATGAAGTCCCTTACACATCCACCTTTATTCTTTGCTTTGCAATTAGGCGTAACTATGTACCAAGAACAGCCGAGAAACGTCAGGAAGCTGGCATTGATGGCGCTGGATTGAACACAATAACAGCTTTTGAACTGTGCAATTTATCTGAGTCGGTGTGAGTTCACGGGTCGTGTCCATTCTCTTGAGCCATGAAGCCATGAGGCGAGGGTGCCTTCTTTCTAAAAAGACACCCACTAAACCAATGAAGCAAATGCACGTTTGGGGACATATCTGCTACCCAGTATCTAGCTTACCTGCTGGTATGCGGAATTCTTCAGTGAACCACTCCTCGCCAGTTCCGTAGGCGTTATGTGCGATAACTCCGACTGTCCACGAAGAACACGGATCAACCTGTTGAAAACTGGTGTTGAAATACTCAGTCGTCCGTTGTTGGATCACAGATGATCCGTTGTACAATCTGACGGTGAACCTTTGGTTTGTCTGAGAATTCGCAACAGTCCACGACACGTTCACCTCTGTCCGACCGGGCAGAACAGAAACCGCAATGTTAATTGGAGTTCTGGGCTCTGGGTAAGAAAAGAGGTTCATTTGAGTGGAAAGTTTAAAACTGAATGGGGAAATATGCGATTGTTTGATCGACACGTTTCGGACACACAAGCCAATAGATTGATCTTTACCAAGTTTATCAAAAAAGATATCATAGTATCAGAAAGCGATACAAAGTCGTTCCCTCTTCAGACTGATTCGACGACACAGGTGATTGTGCCTTAATCTAAACAAGGATGAATACGACCAACCGTTGTGCGATTTGGATTTTTTATCAAGAATTTATTTGATACTAGCGGATTAGTACGTTAAAATTGGAATAAGCTTGATTACTCACTTGTGGGTAGAATAAACTGAACGCGCTCACCGCGAGGACCAGTTCCCTCAGCATTTCGTCCGAAAACGTCAACCAGAATTGGTACGTTCACCGGCAAATCACCCAGATGCACCTCTCGGCCGTTCGTGTTCACGGTGCGCAAAGGCAGCCCATTGGAATCGTACAGTGAAACTTGGAAGCTTTCCGCAGCACAGGTGTCTATGTACTCCCAAGACACGGTGGCGCTATTTTCGTTCGGTCTCAACTTCACACGGGTTGCACTAGGCGCAACTGGAACTGAACAGAGATGATTGTGTCAGCCGAAAATTTTGCATTAAACGCGACATCTACTCGGTATGTGGACTGCACCAAGTGTTTCATTGTACGAGAAAGGTGGATATTTGGGTAGCAGGTGTGCAAACAATCCCGATGCGCAGACGAAACGAGAGCTAGCTGTTGAGACCAATAAATTTGCTAAAGGCAGCTGTGAGCTAAGTGTAGTGTAGCTGGTTGATACAGAAGCGCTCGTTGAGTGGACTGTTCTGGACGATTGGAATCTCTGAACATGCAACTTGTCCAGCAGATACCAAGAAAATGCCTCAGGATCATTGGTGACGGACAGTGGAACTTTTAAATCGATGGCGATTATTAAAACTAAGTTAAGTAGCATGCACACCAGCATCACCAGAGGTCGCTTTACAAAAGTTAAAATATTACCAACCACAAAAATTCTAATTGCATTAAAGTTACTGAGCTAAGCAAGCTCGCAAAAGATTGAAACCAATATATATTACGGCGTTTCAGATAGCCCGCCTGCAAAATGAGCGACCGCATTCAAGACGAATAATCATATGCAACAAATTATGGTGCAAAATTGGGATGATG